TATATATATATACTCTCACTCTAAAGAGTCTCCTCGCCAGTGAAATAGTGGATGTTTATTACCTCTCGCAGTGTATAAGGATCCTGAGGTGTAGCCTCTTTTAATAGGATGATTAATCAATCCAACTTCAAACATTGATAAACACTGCTTTAATTGGCTAAGAAAAATATTTGCAAGTAACTTCAAAGAAATACTGTTGTTTCGCGCACAAAAAGAGATTAATAATAAAATATAATCACTTTTTTAATATTATATTCCTTCAAGTTGTAATTAAATATTCCAATTGCTATTAACATTTACTATTCTAAAAATGTTTTGCGAGGCTAATTAAAATTAGGTGTTTATTCAAAGCTCGACGTGTACATATGCTACCGAAGAAAAATGTTAATTAACTTCTTAGAAATTGAAGGAAGTTAGCGCAAAAATAGATTCATTCAACTTCTTCTAAAACATTAATCCAAGACACGTTCGATAGGGATATGATACGCATTTGACGATTTTGCGTGCTCATCATTTCTTTGTCATCTGATCAAGACCACCTGCATGCTAATTAGAATTCTCCGCATTTGATTTTTTTAACACTGTTCTTCCAAAGATTATTATTGAAAAATTAGATTTAAAAAAAAGAACGTTAAATAATAACCCATCTCACTTGTTTGAAGAAGAGTTAAAGGGTGAGGATGAGAGAAGATGTAAAAATAATAAAACAAGATTTGTAAGACTCTTGAAAAATTCAAAGTGCAATGCTTAGGTCGAGAGAAAAGGCGGTAGAGCTGATTAGAATGAGAATAGGCGTGGGTGTGGATGCATATATATATATATACGAGAAAGAAAGAAAGAAGAATAAGAAGAAGAAGAAGATGGAAAAGAGAAAAGAGAATGTGCTCGAAGAGATGAGAGATAGAAACGACCAAACTAAATAATAACCCCCCTCCTTTCAAGACACCCAACCCAACCGCGACAAGGACCACCCGGTGTAACACACGGAATAAGAAGTAGTGTGTAGTGCCAGCCATACGAACTCAGGTGAGGGCGAGGTGAGCATTTGAAATGGTAATTGCGAACCGAAACGACTCGATGTCTGATAAAACGATTTCGAATGGTCACCGTGTTTAATACTTGTCGATAACCACTTGTTATTAACTTTTTGGCATACACGATTTGCTGCACATAATATTTTTTTCCTTTTCACTCTTGCAAATTGTTTCTTAGTCAAAACATTAAAATTGATTTGTTTTGTTACCAAATATTTTCTATATAGCTAAAAATTCGAGCTCTTTTGTTATTATAGAAAATATATTTGTAAAATAAATGAACAGTAAACGAAAAATTGTAAATGAATCAGTTTCATAAATTCTTTACATGAGGATTCACAATCGAATGAACCAATGGATTCAGTCACCAATGGATTGCTCATTACAATGTTTTCTTTATGACGAAGCAAAAATTAATGTCTATTCAATAACTACCGTAACTGAATCAAAAATATTTGAAAATCTCCAAATATTTAGGTTAATAAAAATCATTTTTCAATATTGTGATCGTCAGAATGATTAAAACTACAAAAGTATGCTTTATATCTGAAAGAAAATTGTCAGAAGTAGTTTAAGAAATTGCAAAACGGATTTAATCGTGGCATACTATATATATATACTGTTCCGGCAAGGCCAGGTGTGCAAAAATCATCAGCAACATATAAGAACCGAGTGCATCAGTAACATCAGAAGCAGCAGCAAACTCGCTAACGACTCTGTGAAACAAGATGGAAGAAATACAGAGAAGAGAAAGGGAGGTGGTTTAAACTTACGGACCTAAATATCAATCAGTGAGTAAGAGAAAGAAAAAGAATAAAAGAGAAACGCAGAAGCAAGATGAAACATTCGGTGTGTTCTGTTTCTTCGCGGGTGTTTAATTAGCAGCTCGAGAACCCCAGACGCCATATACTCAGAACTCAATCAGATCCCTTCATAAGCGCGGTCAGAAACTCGTATGCATAATGCGCTGTCGCGAACTCTTTCTCTCTTCAGAGGAAACGTACCTCTACCTCTGCAATTAACCCTTTCGAGTATTTTATATGCTCTCTTATCAACTTCACTTTATCTCCGCGTATTATATAAAATTACAAATTTTTTTTTCTTTAATTTTCTTTACTGAAACATAATCTTCAAGATTCTATAAAGATAATAATTTTTTTAACCCCTAAACTTTTTTATATCAAAAATAAAAAATAACTTTGTTTTTTAATACAGGATATTAAATATTTAATACTAATGAAATACGGGCGTGGAATATATATATATATATATATATATCTTATAGGCTTTGAGTTCGAAGGCATATATCTCCCACTCGCACAAAAGACATGAATTAATTCTTTCATGGTCAAACTTGAAGCCGATCGATCGATCTCCTTGTATATACGTATGTACGTTTGATCGTCAAAGTGTGTTCGAATCTTGTTTGCATTAATTCAGGCTTTTAATTTAATATCCATTAATCATTTGTGTCAAAGCTGCATGACGTAAGAATGTATTCTACATTTAGCACGCGTTCAAAAGGCAAATGAAATCTTTTCGATAATTAAGAAGATCGATGTAAGATGCAGCAAGAGAAAAATGATTTCTGACAGGACTGTTTCGTTTAGTCATCCAACATATATATATGTGAATATAAATCTGATTCTCATACTCTCTAACAAAACTTGAGAAATTATATATATATATTGATTAGAAGATGCTGTGTAAAATATTGTCATCATGTTTCTTGTTAGGTAGGAAATTATCGAGTCATCATTTAATTGAAATTTTGAATTTTTTTTTCTTCAGTTTTCCTTATTCCTTGTATAGATTTTTTTGTGTTCACTTTTTTTTTTTCTCGAGAAAATTTCGCCTTCGACAAACATGTAAATGAGTGAAAAATTTCTTGGCACCTTCCTCGACTCAGACAACCGGATCAACGTCCCCAAAGATACGAAGAAGAGCGCGTTGCCTGAGGGTCCTTGAGATGGCTGGTAATTTATACGTTTATCTCATTCCGTCAATATTTAAAGAAGGCCCAGCGCCATCGAGAAGACCCTCGAGGCCTCACGAATTTACAAAGAATAAGAAATCTTCGATCCATTTTCCATATACATTCGCAATGAATATATGAATTGTCTTTCTTCAATAAATGTTAAATTTGTGTTAACGAATAGGCATAATTTAGAATTGTACATTCTATATTACATATAATGGACCACAGGCCGGTGTATCCATATTGAGCATCTGGAATATTTCTCTCTCTTTCTCTCTTTCTCTTTGGGAGAGGACACTCCCCTCCCTTGATAGTATTAGCAAACTATACATTACCATTACAAAGACTGCATCTGCAGTTTCGTTTACTTCGAAACAGTACTGGACACCAAACTATCTTACCACCCTATTTCCGCCTTTGTGAAACAGATACATACCTGCGCGCGCGCTATCGGTTTTACTGACTTTGGTCAGAAGTTAATCTCTGATCAAAACTAGGGATTATGTTAATCCGGCTTTGGGCAGGACATTTGTAAAGCTTGCAAACTGATTTTTACGATCGAATCGTGATAGGGAGAGTTTTATTAGAATTTTTATCGTTTTAATGAAAGGAGAATTAATAATTCTTTGGTGATGTCATTTTCAAGGTATAGGAGATTTAATTTTAGAATTTATTAAATATAATTTATATATATATATATATATGATAGGGGGAAAATTATTGTACTTTTCTATTGTTTCTTAAAGTGAGAATCATTTTTTTCCTATCGCAAAAATTACCATATACTTAATGGTATAACATCGTTCGACAAAATTCAACTTTTTTTTTGACCTACAAAAAAATCCAACATTTTCGGAAAGTAGGACCCAAAAAAAATACCAGTGTCTGGCTGTTTTGCTAGATCAAGTTGTTTGTGGTTTTTAGGGGTAAAAACAGCCCCTAAATAAAAAGTGACAAGATATCTTTTAAACAAGTTGTAAATTCAGATGTTCATTACATGAACATTTTGCTTCCTCTTTACGATCAGCAAAAAAATTTGCTTCCTCGTGGAGAAAGCAAAATTTTATTGACAAAATGTGAATTTTTGATTTTTTAACTTTCATTAATTCTTTAAATTTACTTCAAATGTATACTTTATATATATCGGTCGATTCATTTTGACGTAAAGAATACGATTTTATTATATATAACCTTAAATTTTTCTATTTAAAAATTTTTCGATTAAAAAAAAATTTTAGAAAAAAGACGATAAAATTTTTTTTTTGGGGTATTTTTCAAAATCCTTTGGTCAGATTTGAGATATTAATATGATAAATGAGCCTACCAAATTTTATCTAAATCCATTAGAACCTGTTAAAGTTATCTTCTAAACAAAAAAGGGATCCACACACATACACACACACATACAAACATCCGGACAATTGATCAGGATCTCATATAAAATGTTTTTATAAAGAAAAAAATTTGTTTTCGCCACTTTGAAAAGTTTTATAAATGAAAGGACTAAAAAGCTTTCTCCACGAGGAAGCAAAAAATTCAATTTTTCTTAGGCAGACGATTTTATTGCATATTCTTGCACAAAATACACCGAAAAGTGTAGAAAAAAATTGACACCCAGATCCGAGTAGAGGAACACCATTTTTATGACCAAAAACGCATCCAAAAACATAAAAAACTTACCAAAAAAATTCGATTTTTCTTAGGCAGACGATTTTATTGCATATTCTTGCACAAAATACACCGAAAAGTGTAGAAAAAAATTGACACCCAGATCCGAGTAGAGGAAGACCATTTTTATGACCAAAAACGCATCCAAAAACATAAAAAACTTACCAAAAAAATTCAATTTTTCTTAGGCAGACGATTTTATTGCATATTCTTGCACAAAATACACCGAAAAGTGTAGAAAAAAATTGACACCCAGATCCGAGTAGAGGAAGACCCTTTTTATGACCAAAAACGCATCCAAAAACATAAAAAACTTACCAAAAAAATTCAATTTTTCTTAGGCAGACGATTTTATTGCATATTCTTGCACAAAATACACCGAAAAGTGTAGAAAAAAATTGACACCCAGATCCGAGTAGAGGAAGACCCTTTTTATGACCAAAAACGCATCCAAAAGCATGAAAAACTTACCAAAAAAATTCAATTTTTCTTAGGCAGACGATTTTATTGCATATTCTTTCACAAAATACACCGAAAAGTGTAGAAAAAAATTGACACCCAGATCCGAGTAGAGGAAGACCATTTTTATGACCAAAAACGCATCCAAAAGCATGAAAAACTTACCAAAAAAATTCAATTTTTCTTAGGCAGACGATTTTATTGCATATTCTTGCACAAAATACACCGAAAAGTGTAGAAAAAAATTGACACCCAGATCCGAGTAGAGGAAGACCATTTTTATGACCAAAAACGCATCCAAAAACATGAAAAACTTACCAAAAAAATTCAATTTTTCTTAGGCAGACGATTTTATTGCATATTCTTGCACAAAATACACCGAAAAGTGTAGAAAAAAATTGACACCCAGATCCGAGTAGAGGAAGACCCTTTTTATCACCAAAAACGCATCGAAAAACATAAAAAACTTACCAAAAAAATTCAATTTTTCTTAGGCAGACGATTTTATTGCATATTCTTGCACAAAATACACCGAAAAGTGTAGAAAAAAATTGACACCCAGATCCGAGAAGAGGAAGACCCTTTTTATGACCAAAAACGCATCTAAAAGCATGAAAAACTTAACAAAAAAATTCAATTTTTCTTAGGCAGACGATTTTATTGCATATTCTTGCACAAAATACACCGAAAAGTGTAGAAAAAAATTGACACCCAGATCCGAGTAGAGGAAGACCCTTTTTATCACCAAAAACGCATCCAAAAACATAAAAAACTTACCAAAAAAATTCAATTTTTCTTAGGCAGACGATTTTATTGCATATTCTTGCACAAAATACACCGAAAAGTGTAGAAAAAAATTGACACCCAGATCCGAGTAGAGGAAGACCATTTTTATGACCAAAAACGCATCCAAAAACATGAAAAACTTACCAAAAAAATTCAATTTTTCTTAGGCAGACGATTTTATTGCATATTCTTGCACAAAATACACCGAAAAGTGTAGAAAAAAATTGACACCCAGATCCGAGTAGAGGAAGACCCTTTTTATGACCAAAAACGCATCCAAAAGCATGAAAAACTTACCAAAAAAATTCAATTTTTCTTAGGCAGACGATTTTATTGCATATTCTTGCACAAAATACACCAAAAAGTGTAGAAAAAAATTGACACCCAGATCCGAGAAGAGGAAGACCCTTTTTATGACCAAAAACGCATCTAAAAGCATGAAAAACTTACCAAAAAAATTCAATTTTTCTTAGGCAGACGATTTTATTGCATATTCTTGCACAAAATACACCATAATGTGTAGAAAAAAATTGACACCCAGATCCGAGTAGAGGAAGACCATTTTTATGACCAAAAACGCATCCAAAAGCATGAAAAACTTACCAAAAAAATTCAATTTTTCTTAGGCAGACGATTTTATTGCATATTCTTGCACAAAATACACCGAAAAGTGTAGAAAAAAATTGACACCCAGATCCGAGTAGAGGAAGACCCTTTTTATCACCAAAAACGCATCCAAAAACATAAAAAACTTACCAAAAAAATTCAATTTTTCTTAGGCAGACGATTTTATTGCATATTCTTTCACAAAATACACCGAAAAGTGTAGAAAAAAATTGACACCCAGATCCGAGTAGAGGAAGACCATTTTTATGACCAAAAACGCATCCAAAAGCATGAAAAACTTACCAAAAAAATTCAATTTTTCTTAGGCAGACGATTTTATTGCATATTCTTGCACAAAATACACCGAAAAGTGTAGAAAAAAATTGACACCCAGATCCGAGTAGAGGAAGACCATTTTTATGACCAAAAACGCATCCAAAAACATGAAAAACTTACCAAAAAAATTCAATTTTTCTTAGGCAGACGATTTTATTGCATATTCTTGCACAAAATACACCGAAAAGTGTAGAAAAAAATTGACACCCAGATCCGAGTAGAGGAAGACCCTTTTTATCACCAAAAACGCATCGAAAAACATAAAAAACTTACCAAAAAAATTCAATTTTTCTTAGGCAGACGATTTTATTGCATATTCTTGCACAAAATACACCGAAAAGTGTAGAAAAAAATTGACACCCAGATCCGAGAAGAGGAAGACCCTTTTTATGACCAAAAACGCATCTAAAAGCATGAAAAACTTAACAAAAAAATTCAATTTTTCTTAGGCAGACGATTTTATTGCATATTCTTGCACAAAATACACCGAAAAGTGTAGAAAAAAATTGACACCCAGATCCGAGTAGAGGAAGACCCTTTTTATCACCAAAAACGCATCCAAAAACATAAAAAACTTACCAAAAAAATTCAATTTTTCTTAGGCAGACGATTTTATTGCATATTCTTGCACAAAATACACCGAAAAGTGTAGAAAAAAATTGACACCCAGATCCGAGTAGAGGAAGACCATTTTTATGACCAAAAACGCATCCAAAAACATGAAAAACTTACCAAAAAAATTCAATTTTTCTTAGGCAGACGATTTTATTGCATATTCTTGCACAAAATACACCGAAAAGTGTAGAAAAAAATTGACACCCAGATCCGAGTAGAGGAAGACCCTTTTTATGACCAAAAACGCATCCAAAAGCATGAAAAACTTACCAAAAAAATTCAATTTTTCTTAGGCAGACGATTTTATTGCATATTCTTGCACAAAATACACCAAAAAGTGTAGAAAAAAATTGACACCCAGATCCGAGAAGAGGAAGACCCTTTTTATGACCAAAAACGCATCTAAAAGCATGAAAAACTTACCAAAAAAATTCAATTTTTCTTAGGCAGACGATTTTATTGCATATTCTTGCACAAAATACACCATAATGTGTAGAAAAAAATTGACACCCAGATCCGAGTAGAGGAAGACCATTTTTATGACCAAAAACGCATCCAAAAGCATGAAAAACTTACCAAAAAAATTCAATTTTTCTTAGGCAGACGATTTTATTGCATATTCTTGCACAAAATACACCGAAAAGTGTAGAAAAAAATTGACACCCAGATCCGAGTAGAGGAAGACCCTTTTTATCACCAAAAACGCATCCAAAAACATAAAAAACTTACCAAAAAAATTCAATTTTTCTTAGGCAGACGATTTTATTGCATATTCTTGCACAAAATACACCATAATGTGTAGAAAAAAATTGACACCCAGATCCGAGTAGAGGAAGACCATTTTTATGAACAAAAACGCATCCAAAAACATAAAAAACTGACCAAAAAAATTCAATTTTTCTTAGGCAGACGATTTTATTGCATATTCTAGCACAAAATACACCGAAAAGTGTAGAAAAAAATTGACACCCAGATCCGAGTAGAGGAAGACCATTTTTATGACCAAAAACATAAAAAACCTTCAAAAAAAATTCAATTTTTCTTAGGCAGACGATTTTATTGCATATTCTTGCACAAAATACACCGAAAAGTGTAGAAAAAAATTGACACCCAGATCCGAGTAGAGGAAGACCCTTTTTATCACCAAAAACGCATCCAAAAACATAAAAAACTTACCAAAAAAATTCAATTTTTCTTAGGCAGACGATTTTATTGCATATTCTAGCACAAAATACACCGAAAAGTGTAGAAAAAAATTGACACCCAGATCCGAGTAGAGGAAGACCATTTTTATGACCAAAAACGCATCCAAAAACATAAAAAACCTTCAAAAAAAATTCAATTTTTCTTAGGCAGACGATTTTATTGCATATTCTTTCACAAAATACACCGAAAAGTGTAGAAAAAAATTGACACCCAGATCCGAGTAGAGGAAGACCCTTTTTATGACCAAAAACGCATCCAAAAGCATGAAAAACTTACCAAAAAAATTCAATTTTTCTTAGGCAGACGATTTTATTGCATATTCTTGCACAAAATACACCGAAAAGTGTAGAAAAAAATTGACACCCAGATCCGAGTAGAGGAAGACCCTTTTTATCACCAAAAACGCATCCAAAAACATAAAAAACTTACCAAAAAAATTCAATTTTTCTTAGGCAGACGATTTTATTGCATATTCTTGCACAAAATACACCATAATGTGTAGAAAAAAATTGACACCCAGATCCGAGTAGAGGAAGACCATTTTTATGAACAAAAACGCATCCAAAAACATAAAAAACTGACCAAAAAAATTCAATTTTTCTTAGGCAGACGATTTTATTGCATATTCTAGCACAAAATACACCGAAAAGTGTAGAAAAAAATTGACACCCAGATCCGAGTAGAGGAAGACCATTTTTATGACCAAAAACATAAAAAACCTTCAAAAAAAATTCAATTTTTCTTAGGCAGACGATTTTATTGCATATTCTTGCACAAAATACACCGAAAAGTGTAGAAAAAAATTGACACCCAGATCCGAGTAGAGGAAGACCCTTTTTATCACCAAAAACGCATCCAAAAACATAAAAAACTGACCAAAAAAATTCAATTTTTCTTAGGCAGACGATTTTATTGCATATTCTTGCACAAAATACACCGAAAAGTGTAGAAAAAAATTGACACCCAGATCCGAGTAGAGGAAGACCATTTTTATGACCAAAAACGCATTCAAAAACATAAAAAACTTAACAAAAAAATTCAATTTTTCTTAGGCAGACGATTTTATTGCATATTCTTGCACAAAATACACCGAAAAGTGTAGAATTTATATTTTTACTTTGCCGTTTTTTACATAGGTTGAATTAGGTTAAATAAATATTTTGCTTAATACAAATTTGGTTAATTAAAAATTCTATTAAACGAAAATTCTTGTAAAAGAAAACTGTGCTAAATAAAAATTCAATTATACAGAAATTTAAATACAAATAATCTGTTAAATAAAAATTATGGTGAAAAAATTTGCTAAATAAAAATATTCATTTAAAGAATTATTCGATTGAATCGAAATTCGAAATCGAAATAAAAACTTAAGAAAATTTAAATAAATTAAATTAATGTTAAATGAAAATTCGCAAAGAATTAAAAATTGTATTAATTATTTACAGAAATAATTTTACACAATGTTGTACAAAAAAGTATAGTTTTTTTTTCCATTATTTTGATTTTCTATACTTAAAAGTTATTACATTATAATTAAAAAATTATTTCCGAAAGGACACTGTTAATAATAATGGTGTGTGTAGTACGAAAGTCCCTCTTGGTATAATTATTTTACTAGAATTTTTAAGATTGTATACAAAATCTCAGAGACTTATCATCTTGAAGCAAAACCCTGTAATAAAAAAAGAGTATAATTATGGAAGGTGCATGTGAGGCTCATTCTCTCTCTCTCTTTTTCTTTCTTATATAGTGGTATAGGGAAAACAATGCTCCGAATAGAAGGATATATGGTGTGAGTGTGTATAACGCTTTTGCGGTAATTATCTATAAACACAGTAATTAATGCTTGCGCTCGGACCCATTTGGGGGTGTATAAGAACGTTTTTGAACTCACCCCCTCTCTCTCCCTCTCTCTTTTTCTCGGCCCTCGGTTATTATGGCGATTACTGCGAAAGTCGTAATTACAAAAGAGAGAAAGAGAGAGAGAGCGTTTTTCGCTTCAAAAGAGTGGGCTCTCATGCGGTGTGGTGTGTTATAGTTACATTCTGTGCTCGATAAGCGAGTCTCTCTCACATACATATACACACATACAAATAAAACTTTGAACATTGAAGAAAATGAGCCGTGCTGCACGTACTACCTGAATCAAATTATATGTACCTCTGATTATTACTTGCCCACAGAAGATAATGAGATTATGTTTTTCTAGTTGTACATAAGGAGGTCGTGGAGCTCAATTTTTTTTTCAAGTTTTTCGTTTATTCTTTTTTTTACACAATATATTATATACGTAATGGATTTGTAATTTAATAATTAGATAATTAATTAATTAATTTGTGGGAAAATTTTTCCTCTTTTTTATTTTGAGATTCTTTTTACTTAACTAAATAGAGATAAATACATACAAGTTTTTTTAAAAAGAAATAATACATCTTCATTCGAACAATGAGAGAGAGGGAGAGAGATTGTGGAGTATAATTCGATAGAGCTGGTATATCAATTGAATTGGTTTAGTCAGCGAACAAAATCCTTTTTTGGAGGGTAAGGGTTTGAGCGTGTATGTAACGTCAAAACAAAAAAAATAAAAAAAAAATAGGTGACACTATATGGTTGTTTAGTTGCTTGGGGGTAAATAGCTGATCAGAAATAAGAGAGAGAGATCGACAGTTGGCGGTAATCGGGTCGCTGTCAGGGGTTCTGGTTGTGTCGATAAAGCACCCGCGTATAATTAGCGTAATAAGTAGTTTTTTCTTTTTTTAAAGGCGTAGCCTCTTGGTAGAGTATATAGCTTGAAAACAAAGCGCGATGGCTGAAGGCAGCTAATTTCATTTCGTCCGGTGGACAAAAGGGGCTGCCAACAGAGACTGAAAGAACTTTTGCGCACATCCTCCCTCGACCATTCACTCACTCTCTTTTCACAAGTCTTGGTTTTTTGGGGGCACCCTTTGGGCCTGTTTTTTTTTTTTTTTCTCCTAACCTCTGTTTCAGCCGCCCCTTTATATATATAAGCCGACAAAGAGTATATCAGAACAGAGCGCGCGCGCGCAGCGAGAAAACGATTTAATTACGATCTTTAGCGATAATTAGTGCGAGGGGCGGTTCTTGCGGATCCTGTCGACAGGAAGAGTTTCTTTTTTTTATGGTTTCGCGCTCACCGGGAATAGGAATGTTTTTTTTTTTGTTTATTGTTGTTATTTATTAATGAAAGATGTAATTAGGGGGCAATCAGTCTGTTTCACCTTGCTTAAAAGACAGGGTAATGAATACTGTCACGAATGGCATTTTGTTTCGAGTACAATTAACGAACCGAGGTCTCTTGAATCAATATAGAGACAAATTAGTGTTAACTTCTAAACAAGCAAATTTAGCCGCGTTTATAATGTATGTAAATAAATTATGATCAGTAAGGTTAATTATTTTAGACACGTGATATTATATTAAGATTAATTTATATTTTTCATATATGTTTTTTCCAAATTGATTTTTAGAGAGTACACATAAAGTTTCAATTTTCGTGCTAATCATTCCGTATAGGTCAGTTAACCTCGATGCAAATCAGTTTCTTTGACTCTTTACAAGTGGCAGTAAAGAAAGTTTAACTCATCAAAATGGCTGACTCGAGAGTTAAGAATTGCAGATCCAGGATCCATGCCTAAAGGTTGCTTCGAGCAAATATTTTCAACGGTGGTTTTTTTTCCCCCCTCGGTGATCGATTGTATATATGAAACGATATAGGCATGGTATTTGGATAAATTTACGAGACGCGTGTATAGGATAAACCTAGTAACGATCGTCCCTTTTTCTTGAAAGTCATCTCTCTCTTTCCTTCTCGTTTTAGATATTACACACGCGCGAGCAAGAAAAGGCAAGGCACTTCCCTTTTGCCAGTGGGAGAGATGCAAATTGCATAACGAGACACTACATTGCATGTCGCGGCAAACTTGCATTCGGATTATTGGTATCAGATGGCTATACGAGGAGACTGTCATAATGCGGACGACGAGCCCCCATCAGCATGCACGCCGGATCTTGTTATATTAATGCCACGCCGTTCTAACTGATGGCTGCTTGCTCTTCTATATAACACAAATTAGCATGCCTCCCAATCCATCGATTTTATATATATATATATATATAAACTTATAATATCAGATATCTCGAAAATGCTGACTAGTAGACCTTACATACAAATCTGTATATCTACAAGAACCCTAAAGCCATTTCTATATCTTGTGAGGAAAATAATTCCTCTTAGCTCACACGTTTTTGTTTCTGGAATTTACTTTGTCCTTCAGTTTCCGTGTAGAAATTGTCCTATCAGGGCCCTAGTGGGGAATGAAACGCTGATCAGGGCCAAACCAGGGCGACCAGAAAATGGGGATTTCCTAATTAGGGCCACATGAGACGCGGCGTTTCATTTCCTAATCCCGCGTGTAGAAATTGCCCTATCAGGGCCCTAGTAGGGAATGAAACGCTGATCAGGGCGACCAGAAAAGGATGGATTTCCTAATTAGGGCCACATTAGGCGCGGCGTTTTATTTCCTAATCTCGTGTAGAAACTGCCCTATCAGGGCCCTAGTGAGGAATGAGACGCTGATCAGGGCCAAATCAGGGCGACCAGAAAATGGGGATTTCCTAATTAGGGCCACATGAGACGCGGCGTTTCATTTCCTAATCCCGCGTGTAGAAATTGCCCTATCAGGGCCCTAGTAGGGAATGAAACGCTGATCAGGGCGACCAGAAAAGGATGGATTTCCTAATTAGGGCCACATTAGGCGCGGCGTTTTATTTCCTAATCTCGTGTAGAAACTGCCCTATCAGGGCCCTAGTGAGGAATGAGACGCTGATCAGGGCCAAATCAGGGCGACCAGAAAATGGGGATTTCCTAATTAGGGCCACATGAGGCGCGGCGTTTCATTTCCTAATCCCGCGAATAGAAATTACCCTACCAGGGCCCTAGTAGGGAATGAGACGCCACACCTTATCAGGGCCAAATCAGGGCGACCAGAAAATGGGGATTTTCTAATAAGGGCCACATTAGGCGCGGCGTTTCATTTCCTAATCCCGCGTATAGAAATTGCCCTACCAGGGCCCTAGTAGGGAATGAGACGCCACACCTTATCAGGGCCAAATCAGGGCGACCAGAAAATGGGGATTTCCTAATAAGGGCCACATTAGGCGCTGCGTTTCATTTCCTAATCCCGTGTAGAAATTGCCCTATCAGGGCCGTAGTGAGGAATGAAACGCTGATCAGGGCCAAATCAGGGCGACCAGAAAATGGGGATTTCCTTATCAGGGCCACATCAGGCGCGGCGTTTCATATTCTCTAATCCCGTGTATAAATTGCCTTACCAGGGCCCTAGTAGGGAATGAGACGCCACACCTGATCAGAGCCAAATCAGGGCGACCAGAAAATAGGGATTTCCTTCTCAGGGCCACATCAGGCGCGGCGTTTCATTCTCTAATAGGGCAGCCTAATTCGGCCCCGATCTGGGCCCTGGTAAAATTTCTGCACGGGATAAGGCAGCCCCGATCTGGGCCCTAGCAAAATTTCTACACAGGTCTAGTTTTTTTTTATTAGATTAAAAGAAATTAAAATTCCAAGTAAAGTGGCTGGAATATTTAATAAAAACAAAGTTATTTACAGAAAAAAACATTATTTAATATAAAAAAAAGGTTAATTATATGAAAAGATTAATTATACAGTATAACGTTTATTGTAATTATAAGAGTTTTGTTTATTTCTTCATGGATTGCTGCTGGCAATGGTAGTTAGAAGATTTCAGTCTTTAGAAGCTTTTATATATCCATCCGCTATCGGCATTTTGCATCGTTTCACCGTTATATACGTATCGAATTCATGTTTGACGAACCCTCAAACGTTTGATTTCTATTCCCATTCTGACGTAATAAATATGTAGACTGTATGTTTTCTGCTCGGGGGAAGTTTCACTCTCTCAACGCACCCTGAGAAATATAATATTTACAAATTCTTCTTCTTCTTCTTCTTCTTTCTTCATATATATATATATATATATATATAGAAAAAAAAATATTGCGTGTTGTTAATGAGCCGGCACCGTTCTACGTTATTA